GTTTAATTAGGTTTTCTTTATCTAGTTTTAGGACGTGTGAAGAACAGATCATGTTTTAGATCATATTTATGCAAAAATATTATAAATTCAAAAGGGTTCACAAACTTTTAAGCACCACTCTATTTATGTTATTTTGTTGTTCTGTTTTCTGTGACAAATGCATGCACATTGAATTGATATCAGTACTTTTAATTGTTTTAATCATTATTTTTATATTATAAGCGTCCCTACATGTGCACTTAGAAGCATGTTTAATGGAATGTAAATGACACACAGAGATAAATTATACATTTAAAGTTGGGAAATATAGCTCCTTTTTCTATATTGCACTCTTATACTGTATTATCCACACTGTACTTATGTACTAAACATTTTTGTTAATGTAATTACATTGTATGAACAAATACAACTACTTATAAATGCAATAAGTAAATGGCACATTTAGTATATAATACTGTACTGAAAGAAGAGGTGGCTATGAGCTTTTCTTCTTTAAATAGCTCACATTTTAAAAACAGATTAAAAACCAAGGGTGGTATACTCTAAATTGAAAGGAAATTCCTTTCTTTTCATGGTACTTACAACTCCAATAGGGAAAGCTAAGACAGCCATCATCCAGTCACGGAGGGAGATGAGTTTTTTTAGTTGCCTTTCTTGTTCTTGGCTGTCATTTCCTTTAGTCAGAAGGCTGGAAAGGTCAGTCAGTACACAGATCCCAAAAAAAACTGCTTGAATAACCTGCATTAAAAATATAAACATCTTGAAACATAAATAACTTGATCTCAATAACATTATTTTGATGTTGTAGAAGACTAAGACCTCAAAGGTTCCCATTCTGTCTGCAAATTAAAATATCAGAGAAACCTAAGACATTCCAATGTGTTCCAACTCAACTGGAAAAGCCAAATAAAACTGTCCTTACATCGAACAATTTCTGGGCAATTTTAATTCCTGCTGAAAGCCACCTAAAGAAGGTAGGATCGAAGGGTGAAAAGGACCTCGTGTGTGCAGGATAAACATAACAGTGTTTTTATGAACAACAGGAACCCAAATGGAACATTCTCTAGGCACGTTGGAGGTACTATCTTTCAAATGAATCAAATCTTCTGTCTACCCTGCTCCTCACAAAAGTACCTACCAATTCCTAACTAAATTAAACTTTATTAAACAAGACTGAAATGGCAACCATCTCTTCAGTCATGGAACCAACCAAATTGGCCACAATAATTTATAAAAACTCATCTGATATCATAATGCAAAATTCAGGCTTGCTTCAAGCAGCTTCACCATTCACCATTCATATACCTGTAGGAGGCACACCCTGCTGCATTGCTCTATCCCTGCCTGCTTCACCCCCTTGTCCCAAGGGGTGGAATGTTGGAAGGAGGCTTTTAAGCATGCTTGTCTGAACACGAGAAGAAAAAGTTCCCAGTCATAAGGTTAGGGTTTCCAGTAACAAGCTACATATGCAGGCAGGCAGGTCAGAAATGGAGGATCAGAGCACAAAGGTAGAAACAACATCCCCAACATTTATAGGAATAATCTATGAATGCTTAGTGCTCGAACAGGACTACTACAAGTGCCACATCAGAATTCAAAGCAGTATGAATCTGAAGAATCCATTGCTTTGAAGATGCAAAATGACCATCCCTTTAACTATTTTTCCTTAAAAGGAATAACTGGCTACTAATATTTTTCTAAGTGTTAACACCTCCTAAACAGCGTCTCTGATAAATTGGATATTGACAGCCAATTGACAAATAATGCCTTCAATGAGCATTGATAATTTTATTAGCCATCAGCATTCTCAGATTTTTCCAATCAGGATGAAAACAATTCCACTGTCCGTGGTAACATGAAAGCTGGTGAAACAAATTCAGGTCTGAGTTTCAAACTTTAGTCAAGCTAATAGTTTTCCAACCTCACCGGTGATTTTGCCAAGGAAAATGTTTGTAGTATCAGTAAGCCTTTCAATCAGATTCTTTATTTATTTTATATATCGAATTTGTCACAAAAACCATTACTGTTTTAGATTCCCATTCATGTGCCTTATCAATTGCACTTCAGAAATTAAGGCAGAGCAGCGTACAAGACAGAAAAGTGATTAGCAGAAAAAGTTAAAAATGAATGTCTTTTTTACAATTATCAGTAATGAGGCCAGGAAAACGTAGAATTATAAGAGAGGAAGATTTTTTTAGGAGCAACTCATGAATGATTATGCTATAGAAACTTGTGTATTTAAGCTTCAGCTAGAACGGGCAGTTATATTCAACGCATCTAAATTGGGAGAGGGAGGGTCTGTTCCATTAGGGTAGTAAATACAAAATCCTACATTTCTATACTTGTATTACATTTTTGCATACAATGGGCCATGGAACATCAAATTTAAATCTCTTGAAGCCCAATGTATCAGCTATTTTAAAATACATAGGAAACAAATTGTAAAAAAGAAAAAAAAAACCTCATGTTTTAGAGTATGAAAAACATTGCATACCCCCAGGAAATACTTCTGGACTGAAAGCCTATGGTGGAAAGCATTGTAACATCCTTCTTAATGTTAAATTGAAGAAAACCACAGAATATGTGTTGGGGGACAATGCTATATTGGCATTTATTTATTTGTTTGTTTGAATTTATTAGCTGTGCCCAACTCCAATGGACTCTGGGCAGCAATTTTTCTTTTTTTTTTTTTTTTTAATATGACCTACGTGGTTTTTTAAAATGTATGTACTGAGGTTGTTATCAAACTGTAACAAAAAAAGAGATCTCAAGTAATATAACTTCAAAAAAATTACAGACTCTCTATGGAAATATAAATTGAACATCAATCATAACCTGATCTTAATCTTCATCTGCTATTATGTATCACGAGGTCACACAGGGGATCAATCTGTAATGGTATTAGGCATTTAGTCCACAGTTGTATTAAGCGATAAAGAATCTCCTAATATTAACCTTATATTCTAAAATTCATGTAGCAATTATAGAAAATGAAAAGAAACATGCATTCTGGTACCATAACAAGTCTTAGCTGCATATCTTATGGACTTGGGTGAGAGAATCCTCACCAAGTATGTATGTGTGTATGTATGTATGTATGTATCAAATTTGTCACTGCCCATCTCGTGAAACAACTCTGGGCGGTTTATAACAAGATAAAAATTCATTAAAATACAACATAAAAACAATCCTAAAAATAAATAAGTTCCAAGAAGATGGAAAATTGGCAAGCAACTCCAGGGAGCATCATCAGGGGACTAACCACCCCCAGGGACAGGTAGAGCCCATATCACACCATGCACACTGATAGAGCCAGGTCTTCAAACCTTTTCAGAAAGCTGGGAGGGTAGGGGCCCTCTGCACCTCTGGGGGGACAATATTCCAAAGGGCAGGGGCAATGGCAGAGAAGGGTCTCCTCCTGGCCCCACCAGCTGACATTCTCTCACTGACGGGGTCCGTAACATGCCCTCTCTGCTTGACCCGGTAGAATGCACTAATGTGATGGAGATGAGACGGTCCCTCAGGTAACCTGGACCCATGCAATGTAGGGCTTCAAAGGTAATAACCAACACCTTGAATTGGACCCAGAAGCAAACTGGCACCCAATGCAGCTCCTGCAGCAAAGGTGTTACATGTGCCATCCTAGGGGCACCTAGTATCATCCGTGCAGCTGAATTTTGAACCAGCGGTGGCTTCTGAATATTCTTCAAGTAGCCCCATGTAGAGCACTATGAAATAAGAAAAAGAAAACCTCCTGACCAATTTGTCTAGCCATTTCATAGCCAGGGTGAGGAATATCCATGTTTAGACCTCTGGTAAATGTACAAACAAGGAGGCATCTAAAAGAAGCAAATGATTGGATACGCACATTGCACTAACCCCTAGTTGCAGTGTGTTTGATTTTAGCTTAGAATGTTATGTGTACATAGCTGCTGTGATTTATAAACCATGTTTATATATTAGTGAAATATATAACCTAAGACACCTTAAATAAACTGTTGTTCCCTTAAATTGGGATATAGTCCCCGTTATCCTTTCAAAACTTTCAACTCCACATACATATAAAATACTCTAATTTAAACCTATTCATTTTATCGTATGCTTTATCTAAATCATCAATAAATTTTCTTTTTTATATTCATAATTTTGGCTACATTTGTGCAACAGATTTTCTTATTTCCTTGACACGGGTTTTAGCAATTTTATTACTTGTTTGTCTTTCCTTATACTAATGATAATCCTAATTATCAAGGTGCCTAGAGTTGCAGTTGCAACTGAGACAGCCTTAAGTCAATTAAATATATGTTGCCAAAAAATTTTAATTGTTAATGTGACAGGAGGAGTAAATTATTAAACATGGACAAAATATTTAATTATTAGTATGAAGAGTAACCATGCCAACTGTAATTACTTTTAGTTTCAATTAATTTTAAATTAAATCAAATTAAGTTTTATAAAAACTGCAGTTGCCAGCACAACTCAAGGGCCAATTTCAGCCCTTCACTTAAAAATATTAGCAATGTTTGCGCCTAGTCATTATGAGTAATTCAACAAACCTAGATAAAATAAATTGTGGCTTAATACAATGTGTCAACCCAGCAGAGAATGCATACACTTAAGATTTACACAGGCTCATTCAAATGGTACGAAATTACTGGTTGCCATTATATTTGAACCCACTGTCTCCTCAAATCCTCTTATTATAAATAAAAATTATTATAAAAAATTAAATATTATTTATTACACATTTTATGTGATACTGTTTTATTTAATGTCAAATCTAGATTATATTTGTAACTTGCTTTTGGGCCTTTTGGCTGAAAATAAATAAAATTATTATAAAGATTAACAATGAATCTGAGAATTTCTGCACAGAAGGAAGTTACCCCAACTTTAAAGCTACAGTGCAAGATAAAAAAAAAATGTGCTGAAACTAGGAAATGATCAAGCAAATTGCAAAACACAGGTAATAAAGATACTCAGAAAACATCAAGTAAATGACTGTTCTTCTTAGGAATATGTAAATGTAATTGAGAAAATACATTTCCACCTGTCAAAACCATAAAAGGTTTTACTGGAATGCCAGATAAACTTTCATTCCAAGACATTGAAAAGATGTTTAAAATATCTATGATCTGCTTTTTAGAGATGCCTCAAGAAACCTGTACATTTTTTTTTCAAAAATTACTCCAGGATTTTTCAAAAATAAATAATAAAGGTTTAGTCAAAGCATGAGCAACTTCTTTCATTGCAGGATGTAATTTGTTGACTTTGGCAATCTGAACTCATTCAAGATAAACAGATAATTGCCAGCTATGTTAACGCTCTTGCTGGACCCAGACTGTGCCAAAATACAAGTTGAATAAATTCAGCCTATAGGAGTTTTACTTTTTTCCTCAAATGTCTTTCTCTTTAACTGATTTTTCCTAATTGACACTACAGTAATCCTTTTCCCATTATTCCATTCTGGCCCTCACTATGCTACAACCATCATGAGTTTTTGATGTGCAGTGGGAAGGACTCATGGATCTATTTATTACATCTGCTATTACCTGTACTTAGCTCATACACTGGCCATGCTGAGGAGAGGTATCATGAACCCAATTAGCCAGAATCCCAGAACTACTACCTTTATCCTGATCTAGTACTTCTGGCCCAATTGCTTGGGAATGCACTTGTCAGGCCCAGCCCAAGAACAACAGTGAAACAGTCCAGTGGAGTTCAGTTCCTTTATTTGC